CTACTACTACTACTACTACTACTACTACTACTACTACTACTACTACTTACTACTTCTTCTTCTTCTTCTGCTTCTTCTACTATTCATTTGCAAAATCACCTTCCACAGCATGTAGACGGTACTTCCCAAAAAAACAAAAGGATTGAAAAACGATAACAATTTGAAAAACGATACCTGCCTTGAAACTACCCACCAATTGACCACCAGCTTGGCCCCGCTCATATGCCTTACAACCAACTTTCAACTCCAAGGAGTCGATTCCAAACTAGGGCCCGCACAGCAGACAATTGGCAGCAGCGCCCTGCAGCGGCACCAGCACCCAAGCTCCAAACAGCACGGCAGGGCGCCCTGCAACGGCACCAGCACCCAGGCTCCAAAGCGCATGCGGCCACACATCTGGCACCCTGCAGTGGCACTAGCAAGCGCACACACGCACCTCTTCCTATACTTGAAGTATGAACCCCAATAGCACTCGCTATCTGGGAGAGAAAAAACATCTCCTCCAGCTTGAAGCATGCGAGCGCACGGTTGGCCAGGAGAGCCACCTCGCACAATGCCAGGTGCTTCACAGTGCCACACGAAAGGAGCCAGTCGAAGGTTACACAAAGATCTTTCATATTGGTAGGATAAAACATATTCAAGTTATTGAAGCACCTGACTTTGCACACGCTTGGATTTTGCAGGTCAAGGAGCTCCGGAAAAAAGAGCCAAACCAAGCGCCTTCAGAGCGATGGCCTCCTGTTCTTGGCCACAGCTGTCCTCCTGGTCACCTCAGAGCACACCGCGTGGTGTGGGACACGCGTGGCCACCGTGCGTCGCTGTTTTCGTGCTGCACCACTGCAACGCGCTTTCTTCGCGCAAACGAGCGGATTCCGCATCAACCCCAAGGTCAATGACTGGCTTTGTCTGGAAGATTCAAACGTGGCGAAACAATGCGAAAGAGGTGCTGCAGATGCAGAAAGTGCAATGGCAAGTTGGCTGTAAAGCTAACCGTGCAACGAGAACCAACCATCAACCAAAAAGCATCGAAACCATCCAACCAGAGCCAGTTGTACATGTCTGGCACCATCCCAAGGAATGTAGAAACTGCGTACAAACTGGCATACCCCTGCACCTTTGGCAAGCAAGTGCGTGCTTGTTCAACAACAGTACTCTTGCATCAAGCAACCAACAGTACTCGGTCCCACATGGAGGGATCTCAGTGCTCCGTGTCATCGTCGCTCAATGCAAAAGGACCACGTGGTGTTCACTGGAATTCACCCACGTCCCACGTTCGGTGCTCACGCAGTGAGTGAGGAGCCAGAAGTAAAACGAGTCCTCATGTGCTCAATAGACAGGCTGTGACTAAGTCCTCATGTTTACATCTTCTTGATGACACTCCCTGAAACAATGATGGAAGTGGATGGCATGGCCCCTGGAAAAACAATGGTCGGGGATTGTCCACGTCCATGTTTCTTGGAGGGAGGCTATTCTTTGAGATGTGAACCCCGCCCACCACCTAACTCGGGCGCCCTGGCGCCCTCCATCTGCCGTGGAACGCACGGCACGCCCTGGCGCCTGGCACGAGCTCCCAAAAATGGACAGCGTTGACGTGCTCGGAGCAATGAAAGTATTCGAAAGTGCATTCCCATTCCTTTCATCAAGCTCCTCAAGCACCAAAAACCTTGGGCTCCTGTCCAGGAGCCCCCAACCTTCCCTAAGGGTCAGGCTCCACATCCACTGCTACTAGCGAGGTCGTTTGGTCAGGTGCTTCGATGCGATGCTTCGATGATGTCCACCGGACCCCCTGCGAAACACGAACGCCCTCGATCGCCCAACCAAACACCGAGACGACCGGTCGCGAATCTCAACCCGACGCGGTGCTCGACGTCCTCGGGAGGTTCGTACTTCTCGAGACAGTCCAGCGCGGCGGTGTAGGCAGCGATGGCCTCAAAGGCGGGCGGAGAGGGAGAGGTTCTTTTTCTCGAAACAACAGAGATTAAGTGACCTTATAGGACCCTACCAGGGTATCTATGGGATAGCCTATAGGGTTCTTCAACCTCTGTTGGTCCAAGAAGAGATGTTACAAAGAGCTCTCTCAGAACTGTGCTTCAATGATTTGAATGGGTGTTTTTTCACCGGAAGAAACCTGCACCTCGGCAAATGGATGCACATTCAATCTGCAGGGTGCCTAAAAATACCTTGTAAACCATCTGCACAGCCACAAGATCCGCACAGAGCCCCCAGCCTCGCGATAGCGGCCGGCACCAAAGAGGCGATTCGCCTCAGGCGTTTTCACCCAGATCGCCTCTCCCCGGGGAAACCCCTCCGCCCAGATCCACGCCGAGCGGGGGGGAACGAACCGCCCATGGGTGGCAGGTGGAGCAAGAAATACTCCTCCAACAACACCCGAAACGTTCCTATAACTCCTACCCTATTACCCTCCACGCGTTCTCCTTCGTTTTTGGGACCTGAGACACCTCCCACTGAGACACCAGCGCAACCTGCTCCGGTCCGTCCGTCCTCCGCGCCTCGTCCTTCCGCGGGGCGGCCAGGTCCACCGGCGCCACCCTCCGCCCGCTCCGCCGCACGGAGATCTGGCCCGAGACGGGAGGGAGGGGCACGGAGGTGGCACGGGCCATGGTGGCACGGGGCGGAGTCTTAGGTCCAAAGAACAAAGGTCGATTCCTCGATTCTTCGGTTTTCCTTTCTTTTCTTCTAGCGATCTAAATCTAAACTCCAAAGCTTTTTGCCGGGAAGGAGGCACAAACGGTTTCAACACGACACCGTGGTTCAAAAGGCAAGAACTCGGCAAGCACCATGCAAGGTAAAGGTCATGTAAGGACACCCCAAACATCTGCAATCATCAAATCACCAGCCTCACCAACCTCTCCGTACCCAATCAGGGCAGATCTACAAGTCATCTCCCATTCATTGTCTACCTCATTTGCTCGTGTGCTCGTCTCTGTCGGTGAACACCAAGCAAGAACTACACCTCCTTCGTCCTCCCTAAAAACCCAACCTCGTCAGCCTACCCGTTGGCCCCCGAAGCCAATGTAAGGCCAACCCCTCCCCCACATCGCCTTCACCCGCGGCCGCGCGGTGGTGGTGCGGGTCCGGTCGCCGTTGGGCTTGAGGGCCTCGGAACGAAGAAGCCAAGGCTGCAAAAGCCCAGGCCTCTCAGGCTGCCTCTCAGGCTGGGGAGGTAGTCCAGGTAGTGGAAGGTGCTGAAGATGCATGTCACAAGAAAAAGCTGCCTCCACGGCTCAAGGGTACTGGCCATCAGCCATGAGCTTTGGATGGCTGTAGGTTGACAGCAGAGTGGATGGCGGATGTCCGTAGATTCAGGAGAATGGAGCGAGAAATGCCTACAATAGATTGGTCAAATCAAGTTGTTCTCCATCTTGCCCCATCTCTAATTCGGGAGGCTGGTTATCCACGGCCTAGAAACTGTGCCATACCATACCGGGTTTCCCCAGAGTATGAACTCTGGGTTCAGGAGCTCCATGCCATGTCATGCCCCTGCTGTGTCGGCGGGGCCCGGGCCATCTCATCCAAGATCCGATCCTTCTCAGCCTGGCCGCCCAGATGAAGCCAGGCTGAGGAGTTCCTTCCTCCTTGTCTCTGAAAGAAAAGCAAAACCACTGTGTCAAGGAGGAAACGTCGACGAAATCACCGTGTTGGTTGAAGTTCTCAAAATAGCGGCATGGCATGATGCCGTAAAAAGTTTGGTATTCTTCAGAGAGTCTATCTTCAGCTTCTGCTAAGCTACGTAGGACTTTTTTGGATCCCACTTGAACACCAAAAGTCACTCGGTCTGTGTGCATCACCAACTTTGTGGCCAGCGAGCTCATCAGGTCTTCGGAAAAAATGCAACCACTCGTGTCCCCAAGGCCTTCGCTATTTTGGGAGAAAGATGTGCGATGAATGGGTTTTGTTGCTGCAAGGTTGTAAATCTGTACTACTACACTCGGGCACGGCATGAACTAGGACCCCGCCCAAGCTTCATGTTGAAACGAAGATGCTTCAAATCAAATCTCTTCCGGTTCCTAGTTCCCAGTTTCCCAGGCTCGTCCAGCCTGCCATTCCATGCCATACCGCCATACCCATCTCTATCCATACCTTCTCCATACCTTGTTTTCCATACCTTCTCTGTTCAGCCACGCAACGGTACCTCACCTGGCGGGCTTCTCGTTCGGCACGCTGCTGCTGAAAGGCCTGATGCAAATCAGCTGGGTTCAAGAGAGGCTTCGCGTTCCACCTGCCATCCTTCATCTTCCTCGGACATTCCGTTTGCGCTGGAGATCTAGAAGTAGTCTGGGTAGTCGATTCTTAGGTCATGGTATCTGACACATCTTTAATCTGTTCATCTTTTCCGAATGATCGACTTCATTCAACTTCGATAGATCAAACTGGTTCACCTCCCGAAACACCTCCGCTGCTCCGCCTCATCTTCGATCTTGTCGACTTCGGCATCTGGGTCGTACTGATCCCAGTCATTGTAGTACCTGCCCAATGATGTCGTTTGTGGCAAAAATAGAGGAGTCGATTTGGTCCCATAAACCATTAGAAACCTATTGCCCTATTGGTTATTCTCTGGATGGTATCCCCTCTACTAATCAACCAAGGCCATAGAAGGCCATGCATGGTACCTGCAGTGCTAGCAGCAGCTAGCATGTGCCAACCCCTTGCCATTCTCCCCAACCCCAAAACGATGACCATCACCCTCCAGCTTCCACACCACCGCCTTTGGCCCCGAAATTGCTACACACACTCAACACTGCCCGAGGAACACACCGAAGAACACACCTTTCACCGTGGAGCTCCTTCCTTTTACCGCGCCCCCGCGCGGTCCGGAGCCCCGGTCCGGGGCACTGCGCCATGGGGTTCCTGTCCCTGCGGATGGCATCCGACCTGCCCCCGGACCGGCCGAGGCCCGGAGTGGGATGGGGCTCCAGGGCATGGATCTCCCTCCACCTTCCGAAGGAAAAAAGGCAGACCTTGAATGGGTTGTACAACTTGGTCAGTAAAGTCCCTTCAAGGATCTTCATCAATTGTGGTGGAGAAAAACGTCTTAAGCGTTGAGCTCTTTGGAAGAACATGAGTTTCCGGTCAAAGGAGTCAAGTATATACTCCTAATGTGGACTCTAGACTCGACTCTTGAATAATACCCCCCCCCATATGAAGAGGATGTTCAATGCATGTCTGGGGGGGTATTAATCAAGAGTCTACATTAGTATGTTCGGAACCGCCTTGTTCCCCCCAAGCGTTTGGGTTGGATAATCTTTCATTTACCAGACCCCTACCACTGTTTTCCACCAAAATCTGCACATGTTCAGCAGTCAAGTGATCTGTGGTTACAGGATGGCACTCATAGTTCGACCCCTCACTGGGCGCCTGTCATCTTGCACCTCGTCATCCACCTTTACAGCCGGTGTGCTCTCTGCGGGCTTTGCCACCTGCCGAGAACCCCATCTCGCCCCTTCAGCGTTCCAACCCTGCCGACGGAACCAACACATTGGACCCACTCAACCCCAATCGCACAACCTATGCAGACTTCTCTTCGGAGGGGAACCAGTAGAAAGAAAATATACACATATTAGATAGATATAGGCTAGAAACAGAACACAAGGTATCATCTCCATCTAATTAATTGGGGACCTTTCGACACCACGTCGATCTTCATAACTCCCCCACTGACTTCGCAACTCGGCACCCGAGCCAGGAGCTTTTGGGCTTCATTGACTCCGGCCTGACCGCAACAAAGCTTGTCAACGGCTGCGGAAGCCTCTCAATCAATGTTTCAAACAATCAAACAATCACAAACCTCCCATCCGATCCCATTTACATCGCTAACAAAAGCTCCGCAACCAAAGCAGCATACATCAGCCATCTTGTGTCCCTTGCATCCCTACCTTTGTGGGCTGACACTGTGAGCCACAAAGCATCAAAGAACCAAACACAACACGTGGCCCGAACCATCTCAACGCGTGGCCCAAAAACTCCGCTAGCCGCGTGGGCCCGACGGATCCACACGCACCTGCTGCGCAGTCTTCCGGATCTGTCTGCGGCGCTCCTCCTTCTCCTGATCCTCAACGGCACGGTCGCCGACTGCGGCCGGGAGTCGCCGAAGGGTTGGGATCCGAAGTGGATCAGAAGAAGGGAATATCTGGGAGTCGAACGACAAAAGTACTTCTTCACCAGAAAAACCAGTTGGGGTATGCTGGGGCAAGGTGTCCCAGCCAAGTGGGTGATCCCAAATGCCTGTAAACCATCCATTCTGGCCCGCTGGGCAGGCCACAAGTCCCAAAAAGTGTCATGTTCCCACATGTTCCCCATCACCGTCCAACATGCCACGTCCTCACACAATCAATAGCGCCGCGTTTCTCCGCCGGTCCTCCGTCCACTTGTAGAGGTCCGAAAAGAAGTCCGAGACGCTGGTGGCATTGTCCTTCCCGGGGAAGAAACGGCGGCTTGAGCGGGCGGCTGGGTGGTTTGGGTGGTTTGGGTGGTTTGGTGTGTGTGTGTGTGTTTTGTTTTTTCTGGCGAAGGCTGGTGGTCTCTAAAGGCACACGTAGAAGTATCACTACCTGGTTTAACGGACGAAAAGAAAGGTCCTACAAGTGACGAAAAACTGATGGCCTGATCGCTTGAAGCACTTGAGATGGACCCCACCAACAAACAGGTGAAGGGAACTCTGGTGCACGTCCCGGTCCTTGATCCGCTTTTGAATCTCAATCGACATCACTCAGACCTGAGCAGCTACAAAACCCCTGCGCTCGTGCAAGAAAGCCACACGTCATCTATGCAATCGGGGAATACATATACTAGTAGCAGTTGGACTCGCTTTAAGTGTGCTTTGCTGGTCACCCTTCTTTCGGTCTAGAAGGAGAAGGAGAGTTTAACAAGAACTCAAGCACCCTCTCCTCAGCACCTGACGCAAATCCCTGTCGTCATCACCGACCGGCATGCAGGACTGTTGCCATATAATCCATATATAGGTTGAAAATGGTTGAACATATCTCCCTCGTTCTTCACAGTCGGTGGCTGCCAGCTGCGGAATGAAAGTTGGGGACTGAACTTGGCAGATAACTTTTGTCTCATGTCTGGTTTTGCATGTTGGTCTCTACACCTCACTGTGAAGCTCTGGGTATCACCAGGCGAGACGTCTCAGCTGTGTTTCCGTGAATTCTTCGGGCCGAATTGGCCGTTGCTTCAGTCATCCTCTTGGTGTTTTTTTGTGTCATGGGTGCCTTACTTTTTACATGTTTCACCTAAAGCCATACCTGACATCACCGTGCTTGTCTTGAAAAGGAGAGATCGACCCACCAATCCGACGAGTCGACAGCTCCAACACTGCACCAATCACTGACTGCACCCACCGACGTGAGTGAATCGTCGGAGCAACTTCTTTTTCATTCGGACTCATCGTCGGAGACCTTGGATCGCACGGGACACGACACATCCGTGGACGAATGGAATCGACGAATGTCTCATGATCAAGGTGAGTAAGAAGGCCATGGAAAAATAAATGCAACAACATCGCAATGCTTCAGGGTGGCATTCACTCAAACCTCCCGTCTGCACTAGGATCCCGGCGCTTCGAGAAATCTGGCCCAGCCTCTCCTGGGCTGTCCGGCGCGGTCATGGTACCGCCGAGGTCCCGTGCGGACATCCCAGGAACGGTGGGGTCGAAAGCAACGGTGGGATCCCTGTGACAGGTCCAAGCCCAGGATTCCAACAATCATGGACCATTGATTTAATGGTCTTTACCAAAGAACCATGGTTGTTCTAAGGATTTTACATGTTTTTACACTACACAACCAGGCCAACCATTATTTTAATGATCTTTGAAGGCTAGGGCAAGGCGTGCTGCTGTTTTTGAACGTGAAAAACAGCTACTGGCACTGGTGTTAAGAGCGAAGACTGGCAGGTCACTCTAATTACGCTCAGTGGTGAGATATTGTGAGTTTATGGACACCAAGGCATACGGGCGATGGCTCACAAACCCTCCAATCGCACACCCCGCCTCGCCGCGGTACGGCGTCCACGCTGGCCCGCGCCCGAAGACGTGGTTGGGGCAGCGAAGCTGCGCGGGAGTTCGCCAGGAGGGAAAGCCTCAGGGGAGGCAAACGTGCGTGATAGGCTATCGAAACGTGGCTGATGCAACCTGTCCATAGCTATTCAAGGTCCAGATATTCCCAACATCAATCATGTCCAGACTTCCAAACGAAAGAACCTGTCATCATCTTTTCATCCACCCCCAGGTGCATCCCCTCTAGTCCTGCTCCCTTCGATCTTCCCAACCCAAGCTCCCGCACAGGCAAACCTGCCGTCGCCACCTCGGCCGGGCGGTCGTCACCCGTGGCGACCGCGCCGGTCAGGGGGGAGGGGGCCAGCCTTACAGTCCAAAATCTCTGCCATGAACGCACATATTGGCCTGATGAGGTCTGTCTAAACAAAAAGAAAACCGCTGCCATTGGTCGACAGTTTCAGATTCGATTCATTGGACGCCACATCAGTTTGCTCTTGGGTTTTCGAGGTGAGAGGTAGTGAGGTACCGGTCGATTTCGGACCAGAGAAAGGGACGAGAATTGGCCAGCAAGACGCTTCAAATGATCTGGACGTCACAATGAGTTTTTTTGCAATCATCATTTGTGTCCAAAAGAAGCCTTTTGCGAAGCAAATGGATGTGTATTGGAATAGAGAGAGAAGAAGGAGAAGAAGGAGCGAACTTCTTCTGGGTCACTCCAAAGGTCCGTCGAATCCAGGGTGAAAGCCGACCCAAACCACTTTGGGCCATGAACAGAAAGAGGTTTGGGCGCCTGTTCAAGGGGATGGGCCGGTTCAATGGTTCCAAAAGCATCGGTCCATCCATCTGCCTTGTTTCGAGCTGGACTTTCAGGGGCGAAGCCGGACCCAAGCCCAGCAGAGTACCTCTGGGCCATGAAAAAGTATGAACCAGCGCCTACCTGGTAGAAGTGTCTATGTATTATCCATCCTTATAGGGGGGCCCCACCCAGGTGCCCCAATCCCGACTGCTCGGTCGATCCCTCGCCAGGCAGCATTGGGCCGCTTCCGGACCTCACTCGAGCTTCGATGGTGTTCAGCCCGTTGTACACCGTGGGGGGCAGTAGGTGACGTGGTAATTGCACAAAGAAGATCCAGGTTCCAGTGTATCAAGTGGTCTGACGTGGATCGCACGCACACTTTACAATACGGAACAACCAAAGATGCTAAGACCGAGAGGATATGGAGGAGTCCTGCTTGCGCCCTACTTAGCGATAGGTTAAAGTGAAAAAAATGCGTGTGGCTCCAGAAAGGCAAACTTGCCATGTCGCCCCCCCCGGAGAAGTGTGGCGTTTTACAAACTGCTAATTGATTTGGACAATGTCTTGCGGCAAAAGAAACTTGCAAATCAAGCGGATGGCGCCTCAGGCAGGTCGAAGATGGCTCCCTACCCTCAGGTCTGAGTCTTCCACTTCAAGCATCGGTGGCCCAACAGCCCCGTAGAAATCGCTTCCCTTTCCGATGTTGCACCGCAAGAGTCATGTCCTGAGTCCTGCGCATTCCGCGCTTTCGGTCCTTTCGTTCTACCCTGCCGCGAGTTGAGAGGTGGAAACCTGAAGCACCGACCGCGCACACCCGTGACCGGCCTTCGCACCGACCCATCACCTGGCACCGCCCCGCACGGTCTGAGCCCCCGGGCGGCCGTCAGAAGGAACTCCGACATCTTTCCGCCCTGGCGCACGGCGGTGCCCTGCAGACCCGCGTCGCGCATCCACTGCTTCAAGCTGGGCCAATCACGAAGCAAGTGCTGAGGTACCTGAGGAGAGCCACGGCACACGGTGTGACCCCACTTGATGCTCAGCAGCTGCTCTCCATACAAGCAGCCAGTGTTGGGGATCATTTACAACCAAATTGACCTTTTGGTGTTCTTTGCTTCCGGATTTTGTCATCCACTTGTTTCGTTGGGTACTCGTAGGTCATTGGGTCCCCAGCAATCGACCCAAAAAAACAGCTCGCCAAAACAACCGGGTCTCGCACGCGGTAGGGCTGCTCGTAGACTCGGAAGAAGATCCGGTGGATGAAGTCATCTTGGATGTTGGGCCCGCTGTAGGGCACCACCTGCAGGAGAGAGGCTGATGGCCAAACGCCGTGAAAAAGATCCGTGTCATGTGAACGGGTGCTTGGGGAAGTGGGCGATCTGCTCCAGACCAGCCATTGGAGAAGCAGCACCCGCCGTATCCCGCAGATTGCCTCTCCCAAACAAAAAAATATGCCTGCCGCCTTTCAGCGAACTACAGCACCCACCGGGACCGCAGATCAGGTGCCCCGGCCACATCTCCACGTCCCTTGTGGAGTTCATTGGCCTCAGGCGATGGGAGGCAGTCGCAGCTCCCACAGGAGGCTTGGGCAAGTGAAATCAGGGAACCAGCCAAGCATAATGATATACAATGGTGTTGAGCAAACTCCCACGGCTTGCGGTGTCTTTTCGGAGCATTCTTGCTGTTTTTTGTGTTTCTTGGAAGGTTGACACGAGCTTCCAAACGCCTTGAATATTCACTTTCCTACAGGGCTGCTGGGGCCCTATGAGAATTGTTCATGCAAACATCAGCCATGACTGATGAATGATTGAAAAACAAAGATTTCACATACGAGTAGCTGCTACACAGTTACACCCAAAAGCAGGTAGTAGGCACTCACTATCACTCACTGAACACTGCCGTACTAAACCAAAAATAAGAAAAGTAAAAACAAAACTGGGAACTGCACACAGCGGCTTTCTATTTGAGTAATTTACATTGTTGATTGAGTGAGTCTTCTCTGTGAACATCCCCAGCAACTGCAAAATACTATCACTTTAAGCACCTCTGCTTGTGAGATGATCAAATGGGAGTTGAAAAATCATGGAAAGGATCTTGTTTGCCCCCCCTACAAGTATAATGTAAGGACTACATGTTATGTATATCTAAGGGTTTTAAATGTTGACCTGCAAAATGGACCATCACCCTCGACCTTGCAGTTGTTCCCAACAGCTGCAGTGCAGGCAGACGTTTCAATCGACCCGAGTTCCATCCAACACCCCTGAGGTCGCGGACGGAGGACACGCCGATGTTCGCCACAGCCCACAGGGGCGGGGCCTTCGACGTCGCTCGTTCGACGTCGAACGTTCGACGTCGGACGGTCCGTGGAGGCTTTCGAGGTCTTCAAGGCGGCTCGTGCGACCGGGAGATCGGAGACGGCCTCTGCAGTGGGAGCAGGCTTGCCATCCTGGCAAGCTGGAGCGGCCAAGGGGGGTGGATATGTGATGTAAGGAGTCCGTTTGCTATAGCGTTTACCTACCGGTTGTTCTCTTGGTGCTATTTCGTCTTCTGATCAACCAACCAAGGCCGCAAAGGGCCTTCTATGGGGTGGACAAAGCCTTGCGAAGCTCGTGAAATCTCTTCGGACCAGGCATGCCTCATCCACCGCCGTGAGCAGCAAATGCTGGTTGCCCGGGTTCACTGCCTGGCCGCGAAGTGTCCACCCCAAAAGTGGCCCCGACAAAGACCAGAAGCAGTTGCTGACCTAGTTGCCATGCGGAGGTATATTCAAAGAGGAAGACCGACCCCTAAATTAGATCAGTCTACCCAGCCAGGGCCAGGGTGTCTCCCCAATAAAATACACGCCCATACACTTTTCAAAGGAAGTTTAGAGGAACTTCCGTGTTACGAACATTTACATTAGCTGTAATTCTAGTTAATTGTTCTACCACTGATCTCTGGCTCTAGTTCATTGTTCTACCTTTGATCTCTAGCTCTAGTTAATTGTTCTACCATTGAACTGTAGCTCTAGTTCATGGTTCTACCACTGATCTGTAGCTCCTGTTCATTGTTCTAGCATTGTCTGCAAGTTGACACTTCATTGGCTGTTCTTCTGTTATATAATTGTTCTACCACTGATCTCTAGCTCTAGTCCATTGTTCTACCACTGATCTCTAGCTCTAGTTATATAATTGTTCTACCATGGATCTGTAGCTCTAGTTCATGGTTCTACCACTGATCTGTAGCTCCAG